TGCTCATACACAGATTCCTAAGGAATGACTGTAAAGAATTATCCTTGTTTTTAGACTTTAAGTTTCCGTCCAAGGTAAAAATAATGCCTTGTAATGAGTAGATGGCAACCAGGTGAAACCCAGAAAAATAAAATCAAAATGTGGCCACAAAGGCTCATATTCTGAAATCTGACTATAGCATGTGAGGAGGTGCGGAGGGATGCGTGTATGTGTGTGTCAGGTTTAGAGAGAGGGGTGGGAGGGAAAGAGAAAATGCTCAGGAAAGACTGGGAAGCACTAATTATACAACTTGCCCTCACATTCCCCAATTTTAGGTGATTTCCTCTTTCTCACTTCATGAAAGGTGGTGGTCAGAATTGACAATAAATGAGTATTTTCAGGTTAAGTGTGGACCAAATAGCCTTGTCACTATACACAAAAGTCACTGGAGAGGGTGCAGTTGTAGCCTGCAAGATGCAAAATCCTCAGTAGCACCAAAGGCATCCTGGGACTAAGGATTTTTTCCAAAGATTGAGTCAAGAAGGGCACAGAAACTCCTGGACACACAGACACATTCCTCCTTCCCCCACACCCTCAGCCAAGGGACTTGTCATTCTCCCTATGCTAAGACTTCATGAAACTTGTTCTTTTTATTTAATTCAAGTCTTAAGCGAAAAAATATCGTTCTGCATCCAGGCCAGAAAACTCTCTCCTAAGAATTTACAAGCCGCCTACAGAGTTTTAAGGTTTCAAATGGAGTGCTCACAAGCCAGGGTTTGCGAACACATCCAAAAATGAGGCCTGTAAAAGAAAAGAAAAAAACCCACACATACGCATAGGTGCCTTTTGAACTTTCTAACAGGAATCTCGAACGGTGGAGGACCTCAACCACTGGCAGATCATTTTCGAGACTAAATGATCTGTAAAGTGGAGGGAATAATGACCCGACACTGAAACCTACCCACCTTCTTAACAGAGGCTTCTCTGCGCGGTTCATTTTCTCTCTCATCAGGTGCCACCGTTGGACACCAAAGGCGCATTGGCCTTTCTTTATATCTCCCTTTAAGTGGTAGAATTTATACAGGATAAGTTGCTATGGACATGGCAGAATAAAAGCTCACTTCAGACTATTTCCACAAAGCATAGAGGAAAGAGAAGGATGAGCTCACAAGACATTGGCTTCCATATGAAAGCAGCCTGAAGAAAGGTGGTCATCAGCAAACGCAGCAAAGGCTTTCCTCCCACGCTGCTCTGCACACCCAGTGTCCTAGCTGTACAAGCCGTTCGCCCAGCACACTTGACCTATTGGCTTTCAAAGGTGGATGTCAGAGGCATGCCTCTGAGGCTATTTCAAGGTTCAGTGCCCCTTGGATGATCCCAGGTGGAAGTACCACGTGTTGCTTCTGCAATAGGAAGCCTGCCTTGTGACCAGCAAACCAAGCCACCTTCATCCCAAACATGCCCTGTGGAGGGCCCTCTCACATTAATTCCCACCGTGATTATCGCCAGGCTATCGTCCAAGGAAAGCCCACTCACCTGAGAAGCTTCTACCTGTGGTCAGGATATGGCTTTCCTCTCTTGTCCTGAATGACCTGCATGGTGCCTTGTGGCTACCTTTTCCTCTGATAGCATCAGCTTTTATGTTATAATTCTTGTTTCCAAGCTCTAAGACTGCTAATGCTGCACATTCTCATAGATGATTTATTAGTCTCTTTAGGAAGGTATATTTCTGCAAGGATCATGTCATTTGCAAGACATATGGCAGGAGGGAGTTTTAGTTAAGGGATGGTGAACTAAATTGCATCAGGTTTTGCTTTGGCAAGGACACCAGATGGATGCCTTTATGATGAAGTGGGTCTCCTCCAGCCTCTTCTTTTACGAAGCTCTCCAGCAGGTGTTTCCTCTGAGGCATATCTGTTTTCCATAACATCAGAAGAAAGAAAGAAATGAGTGAAAAGTGAAGAAAGCTGCCTGTGACAGCTTGTATACATAGATCATGCCTTTATTATGATAGAAAAGTGTATAGTGAATGATTTGCTATTCTGAGTCAAGTTAAAATGTGCTTGGGAGAAGATGATCTTCCATTTGCCAAAAGGGCATTTAATTTTCAGATTAAAGACTCTTCATTCTTTAAGGGACTCTTCATTCTGGAGGGGCTGTGGGGGGAGCAGGAGAAGAAGTAGGGAAAAGCTGAAGAAAGTGACCAAAAGAAAAGTAGCGGCAGTTGACTTGAGTGCCGAGGGCAGTGTGGGGGAAGCCACCTCCCCAAAGGTAACTTGGTACATTATGTCAGCATCTAAGAGAAGGTGTTTAGGAAACGACACATGGAGAGAAAAGAAAGTTCTATGACTGCATAGCATAGTCAGTTCTCCATATTCTGATCAGAATCAAAACCAGACTTGGCCCCTAGGTGTGTTGCCTTTAACAAGCTTGGCGTAAAGCCGTCACCACGGTTCTGCCCAGGACCATTAACAGAGCCGGTGTGGCTCTTAGGCTTCTGGGTTGGGGCTCATGACTTAAGGATATTTAAACCACCAAAAGTCATATTAATTTAAATGAACAAGGTAACCCATTTTGGTCAAGCTGACCTTGAGGCTGACATCACCACATCTTCTGGCTAGGTAAATGACCAGAATCCACTAAGTTTATAAGTAGGTCTTACATGGAGGGGGAAAGAAGGATTGCACCTAGGCCTTGGCTGATCTCACTAGCAGTTGGCCCCTCTAATTTACCAAACCCTTTTGCAGTTCCCCAGCCTCCCAACCCCAGTTTCTCTATCTGGGTCTTCTCTCTATCCCATTACTTTAGGTCTGACACTTCATTCTCAGGTCAAGTAAGTTCTTTTGTCTGAAAAAATATGACTGACATAGCAATTTAGGAGCTAACCTGGTTAAAAGAGAAAAAAAATTGCTTGTCATTATGTTGGAGTCTGAGATTTTGGGCCAGGTGTTGAATCACAAGCTATATTAACTCGCAGGGAAAACCCCTAACCCTTCAGCACACAGAGCAATGGGTTATATTGTTCCAGGTATGTTATAGTAAAATCTCACAGGAGAACGCTGTCATAAGCTATTGATTACCACGGTGGAACCTATAGCATGAGACAGTATAGTGTGTCTCAAAAGGGGTTTCAGGGGAGAGCAAAAGACATTTTTAAATATAATGAAATAAGCAAGTACATAAGTAAATATAAAAGTTTTGTGGTGAAATAAGTTTGTGAAACATTGTTTTATACAAATTTCAAAGGACTTGATTTTTGCAAGGCTTTTCAGAATCTTCATATGCTGAAGTGTAGTATGGATAACAGAGAGGCCATACTTTTCTCAAAATTTATTGGGCTACAGAAAATAGTTTCTTAGAGCTTCTCCAGTTACTGACATTCTATGGAACATGTTTTTAAGAAAAGGTATTTGTATTGAGATAGAATGGACTTATGCTGGAGTAGCAATTATGAAATCCCAGTTACTTAGCACAACAAATGTGTATTCCTTGTTCATGTTACTTGTCCAGCACAGGTCAAGGAGTCCAGGGCACTCTCCTCCACATGGTCACTCATGTACTCAGGCTGGGTATCTCCATGGCAGGTTAGAAGAGAGCCTGAGAATAGCATGGGGCTTTCACTGTGTCAGTGATCACTTCTCACATTTCATTGGCCAAAACAAGTCCTGTGGTCCCACCCAACTGCTTATATGCTAAGGAAGGGAAAACTTGGGTATTGTGAGCCCCAGTAATCTCAACCTCAGCATTATATTCAAATGCCAGCTTTATAATTTTTCAGTTTTGACTTTTATCCATAAAATAAGAGATGGCCTTTAAAGTTTCTGGCAGAGACAGAAGTGCTCACCAAATATTTCAATTGCTTCCCAAGTTTCTCATCCCTCTTAAAGTTAGCAGAAGCAATGTGACTAGTTCTGGCCAATGAAATGTGAGCAGCAATGAAATGTGCCACTTTGGGCCAACACACTTAAAAGCCTGGGCTTGATTCTCCAGTGTCTTTCCCTTCCCTTGTCTTCATGACTGAGTAGGATATATGTTCCACATGTGTGGCCTTAAGATGGTAGAGCCTCTGTTTCCCTAAGTCTCTTGAGTGGCTGTATGGAGCAGAGACACCTGCTCACCTGAGTTAATATATAGTGTGGGTGAGAAATGACCTTGTTGTGTTAAGCCCCTGGGATTTTGATGTTATTTCTATGTACTACACCTAGATTCTCTTGACTTAAATAAGTCCTTTCAAACCCTAAACTTTCTGTGATTTTAAAAGTTTCCTTTATTCCCTAACAAGCACATATGCATTCCTCAGGATGTGAGTGAGATTTTTCAAAAGATTTTCTAACTCTTTTTGGTGATTGAATGTTTTATCTGATAACCACTGTGCCTAACTGCAGTGTGGAGCGATCACGTGGACAGCTTTGCCAAGATTTAGATCAAGATTAGAGCAGAGTCTAGTCAAATACTGGTCATTGATGGAAGCTGTAAATAATGCAAAATGCATTTAATCAGCAAGGATGTTTCGACAGAGGCCATAGGAAAGACATCAAAGGGAGAGGGGAGGAAAACACTCTAAGGAGAGAGATGCTACCCATGACTTGATCTCACAGCCTTTAAAATTCGTATTCAGGTTCCCAAAACACCTCTCCTGATTTCCCCCAAGCAACAGTATCATCATGATAGTAGCAAAATTAAGAGTAGAATTACCTCCAAAGCACATATAATCTAAGGTAAAAGGACTGATGTTTCTGTTAAACACACACAGGTGCATGTGAGTGCACGCGCATACACACACACACACACACACACACACACACAATCCTTGTGCCCAAAGTGTTTAGAATATCTTCAGCTGTGAGACAGCCTGGACATTCCGCTCCTGGTGTCCTGTTCTGGAGTCTCAGAGACCCGAGGTCATTCTCCTTGTATCAGTCTTCACTTTGGGCTTAAGGCTCTCATGAATTTCCCATCTTGGCTTTGTCTCACCCGAGCCCCACACGTCCTCAGGCTAACTCTCCATTATTCTTACTCAGGGCTTTTCTCTACGAAGATTCTGACTGTCTCGATAGCAGTGGCATGTTTCACTGGTGCAGAGGAGCCCAGTTGGAAAAGGTGATTCTGGTAGGTGATCTTGTAACAAATCTCAAATAAAATAAAGCTTCTCTCAGGGTAAATGATGCCCTTCCACTAGTCATAAGTACCTGCAATTTCTCTATGTTAACTATGAATTTTGGAGGAAAAAACATACACCTCACCAGCCAGATGAATGGTTTGTAGGGTAACAGATGTGGCATTTGACAAAGATTATGTGGATAAAATGCTGGGATTTAAAACAATTAGATTCTTCAACTGCTTCTTCCTGCCTTTAACAGTTTAGCTGAGTCAGTTATTCAGAATAATGTTCTCTTGAAACTTTGCTGTTTTGCTAGTAAATCTAATTAATTTAAATGCACAGGGAAACCTACTATTTACAAGAACTCTGCAGTCTTTCCTATTTCTAAAGTAAGAAATGCTTTTCTAATCTATTGGTTTTAAAGTTTGAACTTTCTATAATAGTTTTTCCTAAAGCTGGCTATATTTATACTTAGAAAATTAGCCAAGAATGTATCTCCTGGATGCCTGCCCCTACAACTGGGTGTATCCTTAGAGATATTAGAATCCTGTCCCTGTCTCTGTCCTTGCAAGGTAAACTCAGCTCACTGAGATGCCAGCAACTAAGATGTAAAAAGCTTTGTATCCTAGTCCAAGATACAAGCCTGCTTTCTAGATCCCAATCTATTTTCATTTTCCAGAATTAGAAATTCAAGTATAATCTCAGTAGTAGTTTGTGTGTTGTATAGACCCTATATAATTTTTTCAACTATGACTAATTGACAATTATGTATTTTTGCTTGCTTTCCAAAAGTAGTTTAGTTCATTTTTTTTCTGTCACACACACAGAATCCTTGTGCCAGTGTCCTGACAGAATATATTTCAACTTTTGTAAAAGCATGATCAATCATTTGATCAGGAGCACAAAATTGTCAGAGCTGTCATATCAACAAGAAGACTATTAGGGTTGCTGAAACTCACTATTTTAGCAATTATGTCTTATTCTAAACTCAGCAAAATAAACATCCGTTGAACAGGCAGCCAAACATGTTTTCAGCAGGAGGGGAATTTTTAGAAAGGTGGGGAAGTTGGTGCAGATGGAGGCATCCAAGAAACTGAGAAATAGAAATAGAAGATGTTTTATTGGATCACACTTATTAAGCATGCAGATAGGTTTCTATGATAGATATCTCCTTTATGACACTTGATGTGCAATGTAGGTCAGAATGCCAACTGAGTCTTTGGTAAATATAGAAAGGCTCCTAGTTTAAGAAACTGTAAGGGTTTTGAAACATGTGACCCTAGAGGAGAGATGTCCAGGTTGCAAAATTCAGGGAGGCTCTGAGCTACGTTTAGTTTACAGAAGGGTCAAGTGGAAGTGGTCGCTCCAAGTTACTTTGAACAAATAGTGCATCCTTTCCTTCCCCAAAAGCCACTAACTTTCTCACCTGAGAGACAGTCTTGTGCCATTGTTTCTTAGGGAAATCACCTCTCTAACTGTGCCCATTAACACATTCTGCCATGTGTCTTGTTTCTAATTGTTTAGTTTTACTCAGCAGAGCAATTGTTGGACTTGGGGCATGTTGCATTAAATACTGTTAGAGGCTTCATTATTCAAGTTAAAACTAACTGGATTAGCTAGAGATGATTATTTAATACACTTGGTTAAGATTCATATCACTCTCTAGGAAGGCTTACTAGACAAGTTGCTTTATTTCCCCTCACAGGGTGAATCCCTTTGGAAAGAGGGTATTTCCTTGTAAGCTCTAATTTGACAGATGCTAATTGTTGAGATGTCAGATGTTACTTATTTATCCTGTAAGATTTCATCAGCCCCCGATTCATAGAAGCTTGTTGTTTAACCTGGCTAAGGACTGGCCTGAGGGAGAATGGTAGATCTATTTGAAATAATCTGAGTCCTCATGAGCTCAGGAATGTAAAACATACTCATACATGACATGACATGCTTTTAAATCATTTAACTTATTGTCTACCTTCTTCCCAGAGTCTTCCTCTAAAAATCTAGGAATTCCATAAGATTCAGATTTGATTAATAGTTATTGAACAACGGTTAATGAGTCAAACACTGAATTTTCAATATATTATTTAGTTTCTACAGCAGAATTAACTTCTACTTGTTTTTAAACCATTTAAACAAAGTCAGAGAGATCAACTACTCTGTTCATACTCATACAACTAGTAGCAAAACCAAAATATGAAGCCAGGTCCAGGGAGTGCTCAACTGTGTCCCACCTCCATGAGAGGAGACATGACTCATTTTCTGAAAGAAATCACACAAAGGCTTGAAATAAATTTCCTTTGTGAATACCATTTCTATTTTAAAAAGTTACACTTATTGTTTTTAAAAATCTCTATGAATGTGGGGAAAATCCTAATCTCAGTCTTCATCATGTATATTATTTTGTTTTCAAATGAGAGCTATAGGGGAGATGCTGACAGTTGGCAATACTGATAATAATATGAGACATATTCAAATGTTTGGGATCAAATGGAACTTTTATAGTCTTATAATTTCTTTTGTGCACTTTCCATGAATAATTTTCTCAACTCTAGAAAGAGTCTATTGAATCAGCTCAACTTTTATAAAAGCATGATCAATCATTTGATCGGAAGCACAAAATTGTCAGAGCTGTCACATCAACTAGAAGACTATTAGGGTTGCTGAAACTCACCATGTTAGCAATTGTTTTATTCTAAACTAAGAAAAATGGCTCCTAAATATAAATATCAGGCTGAACCATGTGAAGTTGCTGATATTCAGCCATTTTTGACCCATAAAAAGGTAATTTTATATGGTTCAAGTTAATATGTATTTTCATATGTATGAAAATCTGCTGAAAATTGCAACATGTTGGGAAACTTGATGTAATTTTCAGGGCTCACTGGAAGACATAAGGTTAGCAAAGGAATTTGGGATGCTTTAGTTTGTCATTGAATCTTACTATAGCACATATAAAGCTAAACACATATAATGAAAATAAGAGATATTTTCCCCATTTGGTTCAGTGATTTCACATTGAATTGAGAAACGATGCTGATCTAAGTTTTAACTGATGCACTCCAAGCTAAAAGAAAAATAAAAAAATTTAAAAAAGTGAAATAAGAAGGAACTCCACAAAGAGATCAAAAGTATAATTGCCCCACTATGAATAAGTTGCATTTTTTATGAGCAGTTTACAAAATTCTGTTATTCTTATGAAAATACTCTTGTGGATGGACCTCAAAGAGTTGGGGTGAGGGGGAGGAGCCTTCTTTGAGGGACTCTCACCTTGTTTCTAAAAATGACCAGATTCTGGCGTGCTTATGCTTAGAAACGGACTGAGAAGTCAACACATGAGTTTCGGAACCACATTGTCGCCTGTATCTTTGGAGATGCCCACTCAACACTGATGGGGCTTCGGAATTTTGTAATGCCCCTGAGAGCCAGCAGCTATACCCGGCAGGAGCTGAAGGACATTGTGTTTATCGGGTGTCTGGATTACCTGCAGAGAGAATGGCGATTTCTCCGGAATTTTCCCCAGATCTACATTCTGCCTGTAAGTATCACATAAAGGATAGTGAATATTTGTAACGGTAGTAACACAAACAATACTAGCATTACTACTACTACTACTACTACTACTACTACTACTACTAGCTTGCAGTTGTATAATGATACCAGAAACTGTTCTATGCATTTTACATATATTAACTCATTTAACCCTCAAAACACCTCTACGAGGTAGACTTTAAAGATGTTCAACTTCAGACATGGAGAAAGTAAGTAACCTGTCCAAGTTTACACAGCAAGTAAATAGCAGGACTAGGGTTTAAATCCAGACATTATGCTCAGGAGCCACCATGTTTAATGTTTATAACCATGTTTTATGGTCTTTATATAAATAGGAGTTTCTCTGCATTTCTGAATCTGACTCTGACTTAATGGCTAAACCCAAGCTGATGCTCCCCAGTCTTCATGCTCTAACTTCCTCCTCTTTTCTTGAGACACATCTTTTCTGGAACATGAGATGCCACACGGTCCTTGATAGATATACGAAAAGGAGAAGTTAGGTTTACACTTCTGAGAAATGGGTCCATTATGCACGTGGCATTATGGTTGTAATTGTATTTATTCTGAACCTGCATAGGCCTGTATCCCATTATATGCCGGCATTTCTCTGGATTAAAAAAAAAGTTATGTGTAGCACAAAATGCACCAAAGCATTCGATTTTTCATGAAAGAATGCTAGTGATATGTGAGGATTATTTTTCAAACTTCAAAATTTGTTCTCCCAAGAATTTCATTTGCTTTTCTAAAAAGCCACTGTATGTTTCTCCTCACCACCCTCTTAGTTTAGTTCAAAGAAAGGAACAACAGAAAATAACCCAAATTCTCCCCATCCAGCTAATGTTAGAAATTACCAGTATTTGAGTCCAAGGTACCTGAAGGAGGAGCCAGATCTATACCTATTTTTCCACCAAAGGAAAGAACCACTTTGCTGGTTAATTTGGAGCATGCAAGTGGGGTCAGCTACAAGTGAAATTGTGAAGATACAAAATTTGCCATTAGATCCATAATTTCTCCTTTGTCTGATTTTTTTCTCACCACTGTTTCCCTCCCTCACTTCTCTTTTCCCTCTTGAGTCATTTAAATGGATTTAGGCTCCCCACTCTCTACCTGCCTTTTGTCTGGTGCAGATTTGCTCTCAGACGAAGGTCTGTGAAATATAGTCACACTAAGATATTAATGACTGATAAGGCTAAAGGTGGTCAGATATCAGGTAACAAAGTCTTAAAACCAAGACAGTGGAGGCTGGAGAGGCGTTGGCTCAAAAATCGTTATCACCCACAAAGACCCACCACCGTGGGCCGTGATACAAAATCTGTCCATCTGAGAAGTTCCTCCTCTCCCTGGTTTTCTTTCATTAGGGATCTGCACTCTATGCTGCAGACCTCCATGCTGTCAACATAGAGGAATGTGCCATGTGTGCTGTCTTATCTTCCCCATGCAAGTCATCTTGCGAGACTCTGGTAGACACGCAGACCATCATGGCCACCCTCAACATAGGGTCACTGAGGATAAGCTTCTCTGCCCCGAACCCCTCAGAGCCAGGTAAGAACAACACCCTGACAGGGGGAGCCTGGGGAGAATGGAATAAGAAGGGGGAAGTAACTTCTCTCTGAAGTACTCTGACCATGGGGAAGAGTAGTATAGAGTTTAGTCCTTGGGAATCCCCAGTCAACTGAAAAATGATATTTGTCTTCTAAATGGAATGCATGTAACACTTGTAAGTAAGATCACAGAATTGCAAGTGCTAATGTTGTTACTAATCAAATATCAGTGAAGATAGCAGTTGGCATATTATTATAATTAATAGCAGGAATTATCCTTTTCAATGAAATTCTCATTGGATCTTGTAGATGTTCAAGTTATTATTCTTAGTTTCATGGTTGAGAGATGCAGTGTAATTCTCTTTCACTCTTCAAGATGCTTTCCATATATGAATTTTAGAAGATTATCTCTAAGGTAAGTTCTCTACCACCTTCTGTAGGCTAAAAAAAGTCGTAATTCAACTTCAGAGTGAAAAGAGACGGTGAGAAGAGAGATTGCTTCAGGATGGGGCTCATGTCTTTTCCTCCTTTGTACTCCTCAGTGCCCAGCACAGTTGGGCTTACTTAGTAGATGCTTAACACATTTATTGCATTGAAGCAAATGAGCCAGTGAGCTGGACTCTTGAGTAGTTTCCACACATTCCTCGTGCCCAAAATGTGCTTAACATAAATTCCCACTACAAAATTGTGGTTTTCCTCCCTCCCCCCCCAGGAAAAGACTTATATATTAGTCTATTTCTAAAAATTGACTGCTGGCCACTGAACCTAATATGAAAGCACTCCTACTGAAGAATTTTCTGTATCAATCCAAGTAAATCATGATTGGAGTAAGTCATGGGAAAGGCCTGGATCCAGCCTTTCCCTTGGGGATGCTGATCGTCTCTCTGGGTCAAGATTGGGCACTCAGTCCTCTGGCTATATGGCTGCTGACTACAGCTTTTCCACTCTGCATGGAGCTTGGAGAGGCCAGACGCCGAAAGTATTGTAAGGCTTTCATGATTACGGATGTAGATAAAAATGTCCGTGGGTCAACCCGGAAAACTGAAAGAACTCTCTCTGACTTCTAGGCACTGTTGCCAGGTGGGAAAATATGACATTCTTGGGACAAAGGAATTAACAAGAAATATAGTTGGATCTCTGGTAGGTGAGCTAAGCCAGCTATGTGACACACCCTCGCTAAGCAACCAAACACCACTTGGGTTTTTTTGCAAAGCAGAACTAAAAGCGAAGCACTTCATGATGTCAAAGTACACTGAAAATCCAGACTAAGGCAGTGTGAGCCGTGCCTCTGCTGAGCAAATCTGAAGATCCATAAGATGCTGGTGTGTCCTGCACGTAAATCCTTTGCTCATCCATTAAGGTCATTTAGAGTTACCTAAGATCTGTGTGTGGTGTGGGTGTGAGTGTGGTGTGGGGAGGGCTGCA